GAGAGAGAGAGAGAGAGAGAGAGAGAGAGAGAGAGAGTTCCTTTGCCACCTTGCTCACAGTTTCTACCCACCAACTTATTATAAGTCTGACTGACTCCTCCATTCCCTCCAACCCAAAAAATAGGTGGATGTGGGGAGGCGTCCAGTGACCGGCCTTCGCCTCTACCTTGAGGGCAAGAAGAGCAACCGCCTTGCGATCCACCTTCAACACCTCTCTGCCCTCCCTTCTATACTCCACCTCTCTGACACTCTGCCCCATGGTCACGGCCCTGGCCCTGGCCCTGGCCCAGATGATCTCTGTCAAGACCGCCGCTACTTCGAGGCCCTCCAATGGCGCCACTTCTCTCACATATGCACTGCTCCTGTGGACCGTGGAGATGATCCATGGATTGTGACTGGTGCGCAACTTTTGGTCCACAAAAACATCCTCTTTTTGAGGCTAAAATATTCGGCAGTCAATGCTAAGATTCGCCGCTCAGATTGGGAACGTTCGGAAGGTTTAGGGCATAAGTCAGGGATTTTGTCTACTCTGATCAGTACGCATTTTACCGGGGTGGCACGTGCTCCCACTCCGAGGCCTAGTGATGTGGTTGTGAACTCTGCGGTGTACCCTGGAGGACCACCAGTGCCAGTGAGGACCCCACGCATGCTTAGCTTTGTGGATGCGGCAGAGATGGCTCGAGGCCCTCAAGATGCTCCCGGGTATTGGGTGGTTACAGGTGGTAAGCTTTGTGTTGATAGGGGGCGGATTTCGATTAGTGTGAGGTATTCATTGCTCACCATTGTGCCTGAGGTGGAGGATGAGGAGTGAGGTGTCTGGGTGTGACATTCTTTGGGGGTTGAGAGAGAGAGAGAGAGAGAGAGAGCATAGAATTGCAGATAAGGGAACGTAGAGTAGGGATTCCTATGGGAATTGTAGGAGAGATAGGGATGTAAACAGTGAGGATATTGATGGCGTAATGGAGAGTAGACATGGATGGGATTGTAGACACCACCTAGAGGGAAATGCGAGCAGCATTGCTAGCATACGGCATGATGGGGGTTGGATAGTGCCACGGTTATTCTGGAGAAAGTGCAAGAGCTGATACATCCAGGTATTTTATTTCTTATTCCTGGTTTGTGTTTTCGGGTAGGTGTTGTGTTCTTATTAGGGGAAAAACAGGAGATGTTGAAGTGATTGGGAAAGGAACCACACAGATGGGCATGTATAAGAAAATGAGGGAAATACTATGGGCATTATCAACTCCGAGAGGATGCAAAAATGGAGATAACCATGGTTTGCTTTAAGAATGGTGGAAGATTCTATGTTAAGTTTGTGGGTGTTACGATTTCGTGCTCTGACAGAAGTAGGCAAAGGACTGGACGAAGTGAAAGGATATTGTTCATTTTGGTGTTTTTGGTGGGTTTCGTGTTCTGTTGTTCGATTATAACTGTGGTCGTGTAGATATATTGTTTGAATGTATCTTGAAATCTTGATCAATATGAGCTCTGATGTTGAATAGAATGCTTTTGTATGCTTCCATGTATTTATTCTATAGATTAGTCATTTCAATAAATGTCTTTTGACCAGTGATTTAAAAGGTAAACAGGCGGATTTGTAGGAGTCGCTACGTGCGATTTCAACCGGTAAGGGTAAGAGCTCTGGAAAGTTCGGGGCAATTTCAACCAGTAAAGGTAAGAGCTTTGGAAAGTTCAACTGGTAAGGGTAAGAGCTCTGGAAAGTTCGAGGCGATTTTAACCGGTAAGGGTAAGAGCTTTGGAAAGTTCGGGGCATTGTTACTCGTATGTCAAAGTTCGGCACTGTTGTTCGTACGTCAACGGGGTTCATAACATTTGAGTATTTGAACTCATCTCCAGAAATGGAAAGTTCTGGAAAGTTGTTCGTACATCAACGGGGTTCATAACATTTAAGTATTTGAGCTCATCTCTAGAAATGGAAAGTTGTGGAAAGTTCGGGGTGATTTCAACCAGTAAGGGTAAGAGCTTTGGAAAGTTCGGGGCATTGTTGCTCGTACGTTAACGGGTTCATAATATGTGATTATTTGTAGTGAGCCGCTACGGGGGTTCATAACACGTCACTCATAGGATTTTAACATGAGGTATACACCACACACCTGCACGTATATTAACAAGCAGCTACCACAAACAATTTATACTAATCAAATCTTCTCTAAAACTTCAATGTGGGATAATTCCCATCAAACAGTGTGCGTGCAAATAAGGTATTCGTGCTATGTGTATAAAGGTGTATATGTATAAAGTAATTATGTACTTTATGAATAACTCTCTTTCGTATGTATAATATATAAAGTAAATTACATATTTTATATGTATAAAATAAATCACATTTTATAAATACCTCTCTCTCATATGTATAATTGTTTATAAATTAAATATTTTATAAATAGATCTTTCTCTTATACAATGACATCTATCAAATGAAATAGTCTATAATTCTTTTTAAGATTAATTATATTTATTTATTTTTAATATTTAATCTTTTTAAAGATTAATTATATATTTATTTCTTTTTTATGATATACAAATATAAAGTACGTATAATATTTAATTACATATAATTACAAAAATAAAATTCTATATAATAATTTATAAAAATTACAAAATATATATGAAATTGTTGTTTGTTTATGTTAATAATTTAAATACAATTATGTTAAATTTATGTCAATATAATTATTTTTATATCCACTAAATTATTTTTAAATTATATGGAAGTTTTTTCTAATATTTGTAAAAATTCTATTAGGCTATTATCTCATGGGATTATTTTATTACAAGATTAATAATTAATTAAGTGGTTAATTGAGATTAAAAATTAGTACTAGCTCATAGGATATTAAGAAACAAAAAATAATATTAATTCTGGTTTATTGAATATTAAAAAATATTAGTTTAGAGTATATTTTAAGAGAGAAAAATAACACTAACTCATACCACTTTAGAATTTATTTCTACATTAATAATCAAATATTTTATTTTATTTATTTGCATTATAAATTGTGCTGTACTATTTTTTTTTTACAGTTGTCAATAATACATTTTAAATTAGATGATATTATAAGATATTTTGGATTTGTTATTATTTGTATAATAAAATAACTATAAAATACAAACCAATAATTTCAATTTCAATATATAATATTATAGTTAGTTAGGTTGTAATAATTTTGAATTATAATTAGTTAGGTTGTAATAATTTGGGTTTTTTTTAACGGATTAGGGTTTTTCACCAATTCGAGATTTTGGTGGCCATTTTTTTATCGATTTAATCCATTCTTTATTGTAGTCTATGTATATACTTCATAACGGTGGTTTAAAAAACGGATCTGTACCCCAGATTGCTCTCCCTAAAAACCCATTCGGATGGGTGAATCGACGATCCGGATCGGGAATCGGCTGAATCGGTCCAATTATGCCTTAAAAAAATCTAAAAAAATTATTAAAAATTATTATAAATATTATTTTTTAGGAATCCAATAAAAAATAGACGTATTACATTATTAACTTTCATTTTTTTCATCAATTTGGAAATATTAAGATATTCTTTCCATGTAGGAACTTATGTTAACCATTAAATTTGCATCACATAAAAAAAAATCCTAGAATCATCATGGATAAAATATAAGAAAAATTTCGTATATAACCTTAATTTTTCTTAACATTGATTACCATTGCGTTATCATTTCCATTTATTTCCCCAATTCTTTTCTTCCACTACTAAAAGGTGTTTCAATCTGCATTTAATTCCAAAATTCTTTTCTTTGAAAATTAGCTCATCTGTTCAATTATATTTTTTGATGTTGAACTCTTAATATGATGGGAGAACTAAGAAGTTAGTCAAAATGAATATCAATTAGTCCGTACATTAGTAGGAAGATCCAAGCTTTAAGATGTTGAGGCACAGTAGGGTTAAACTCTCTCACCACCCTTTTATGGAAACAATTGTATAATGGAAAAAATGGAAAGGAGAAAAAATAAATATGTATTTCATTTTTTTTTTGTAGAAACCATCATTTAGAGCGTTTCTCAAAAGGAAAAAGTTTATATGCGGGCATGTTAGCATATAGACTTTAGCTATCCACAATCCAACTTAGTTGATCGGGGCCTTCTCAAAAGGATAAAGTTTATATGCGGGCATGTTAGCATATAGACTTGAGCTATTTACAATCCAACTTAGTTGAACGGGGCCAACCAATTTAAGAGGCTCTTCTCAAAAGGAAAGTATATAAGGAGATAATTTACCTTTGATATAAGATGGTCACAATTAATCTTAACCATTGGATGTAAAATTGGGTGGTTACATTTATTTAATTGACCAAGCTCAAGTTTAAAAGATATTTTTTCGAACTTTGTGACACACTCAAGCTATCAGATTTCACATCAAATAGTTGTAAGTAATAGTGACCTTCCTGTATCAAAAGTAAATGGTCTCATTATATACAATACCCTTTTATTGATAAGCTTTTTGAAAGTTCATCACTCCCAATACGTAAAATTGTAATGAGAATTATATCTCACATGCTCTGATATTCCAATTTATAAAAAAAGAAAAGAAAAACAAAGTTTATATAGTTACAACCATGCTAAGATAAAGTTATATTAATCTATCTATTTTATTTTATTTAGACTGTGTAAATTTGATATTATTTTAAAAAACATACTATTTTTATATAATTTAAAAGACGTGTTGAATATACACCATCCAACTAAAATAAATGGGATAAAACAATAATTTACTTCTACAAATATGGTTGCAATCTTATATAAACCACACAAAAAAAAGATATTATTTTTGTATAGATTGTATACTATAAAGATATCACAATTATCTACTTTTAATTGTTGAATGTAAAATTCAATAGATAAAAATATGCCACATCATTCAAAGAATTTTATTTTGAATTTTATGCATAAATAATGCTATATCCTCAACTACCCAATTTTAAATCCATCAGTTAGTGAATATTGGGATAGCTTGTATCAAAAGTAATCGTCTCATCATATACATTTTTGTTTCTATAAGATTAGGCTTATTAAAATAAAATAAAGCCTCCACAAATCAGGAAAGCACTTTGGGCACCATAAATCAACATGATGGCGCTTAAATAAATTCCCAACACAGTCGATAAAAGTTGAAGTTAAAATAATATACAAATCTTGCAAAACCATGAACATTTATTTTTAGGGTGAACTAGACGGTTTGAATAATCTATTTTTTTTCACAACCATAATAATTAATGCCCAGATGAACAATTTGAAAGTTCTTTGACGCTAAAACTGCAATTTTCGGTGAGTTTTGAAGCGATAATTTATTTATTTATTTTGATTGGTGCTACAGTGTCATGAAAAAAACACTAGTGAATTTTAAGTCGAAAGATGTCTTTTATCGAAACTGCTACCACTAAAATCCAATGTAACTTCCACCATTACGTTTTCAAGAGCCATTTCAACAATATTTTGACATTTGAAACGATTGCAGACCACATGTACTGCCTGTGGAAATTGCAACCACTCTCTCTCTCTCTGATGTTGAAATTCATGGTATTCAATCCAAATCCAATTAAAGGAAAATTGGTTGCTTTCCTTGATAACGGATATGGTTCTTAATGACAAAAGACCAACGAATCCCAGCCTTTTCTATCTGTAGTTCTATACAATATCTTGCCAAATGTCTCCCCTCCATCTCTCTCTCTCTCTATCTCTTTCTCTCTCTAAAGACCCCCTCAACAATCCCCCTCCTTTCTTGTACATATAAGTTTTATTCTAAGAGGCAAGGCCATTATCATGGGAAGGCCAAGAAATCCCTTCTCTATTACAGGGCAAAGGCGCAGGGTGTGCAATGAAAGTAGGAATGTCTTGACCCGGCATCACCACTGAAAAATCAATCGTGCTTCCAACTGAAACCTGCAAGTAACATCTCTTGAGATCATAAAGTAGAAAAACTAAAACTTGCAAAAATACAATATGTACACATGCAACCAGTGTTGGCGAGTCCTGCACGAGTTACTCGGGCTCAGCAGCCTGTTGAGCCTTGAACTAAAATCTTGGGAACCCGCTGAGTCCTGCAAGTTCCCAACGTTTTGTTGTCGGCATTTTAACGCTCAGCCAAGTCTCCACAGACTTGACTGAGAGTGGAGTTTCCTTACTCTGGCTGGGGATCCCTAGCAAGTCCTTTAAACACTGCATTCGGGCTGGGGATCCCTAGCAAGTCCTTTAAACACTGCATTCAGGCTGGGGATCCCTAGCAAGTCCTTTAAACACTGCATACGACCCACGTGACACAAGTACATGATGTGTGTTTGAAAAGAGCATATGACAACCTACATGTGTTCACTTTATGCATGCGCGTGAAACCCACATGACACCAGCGCACAAGACAATGTGACATATACAAACAGATGCTATCCAAAACTGTGCATTTGTGTGAGGTAAGGTCAATTACATTTTTAGATGAGGATTTATACAATGAGATCGATTACTTTCTACAAACACACACACACTTGACAAACCCGAGCCATTAGATGTCAATTAAGGACAGTGGGCATTATTGTTCCTCCACTCAAAGTTCGACTTTTTTTGTTTTTTTGATGAACTTCGAGTGGAGGAAAGACACCCCAGCCGTCCTTGTGGACAACTCAGACAGAGAGTGTGTGATGGGGACTGTATCAAAAAAAGGAAGATGTGCTCTCAAGTATACACAAGCCCTTCTAGACCCTCAGATGTGCCTATTTCTTGGGGCGAAAGGGGATAAAAAAAAGATGGAGCCAGAGATAAATGGTAAAACAAAGGCACGTTTCAAGTGTCAAGGGGGTATGATATCACCCATGAGGAAAAAGCCCCACCTACATAGGACACCAAATGCTTACCAAACCAGTATCATTCACCAACAATATCCTTTCTACTTCTGACCAAAAAACATTATGTTTGGCACCTAGCAGTGAAGGGCATTAAGGGCCCAAAATTGTCCGAGTTGGGTAGGAGAGTTCATGATACATGGACCCCCAAAAACATGGGTTTCTCGGGGTTAAAGAGGATTCAACTGTCAAGAATGGTTGCAAGAAAGGTAAAGTGTGTTAGCAGATACATGAGCCCACCTTGGCTTTTAACAGACAACAAATCTGAAAACCCATCCTAAATCACCACAAATGCATCCCTGCCTTAGATCTATAATTTTCCACCTCAATCACTGCAAATGCATTTCCTCCTTAGATCCATGATTTTGCACCTTAAAAAATAGTGTAGATATAAAGATCTCTGAAGAATTGAAATGAACAGAAATCCAAAATGGACTACTTTTCGACTCGTGAAGTTCTGAATCCAAATTCCATCTCTAAGATGGAATTTGGAAGGTGGGAGCACTAGAACAAGTGCATTAGCTGATGCACCAAAACCCCACCTATGGCTGTCCACTTCCGCTTGGTATACATTGACAGATAACAATTGTCTAAGCATTTAGAATCCAAAGAAATTACAACCAGAACTACCTCAATGAAAACAAGAATAAGAATGTACCAATAATTTTAGCATATGGGAGTCTAGAAAAATCTCACAATCAAGAGTAAGACAGTCATAATTAGGAGGGAGACCACCAATATGCAATCAATTAAAATGAGAGAAATAATAGCAACGACAGGAAATATACCAAACTAAATCAGTCCAAGCAAAAATAGTTACCCCTGCGTGTCAGAGAGAGAGTTAGCCATCGCTAACGACAATCCATTGCACTTAACGACTCAATTTTGTATAAAAAGCATGGCCGTTACTCGTTTATAAAGTCATGATCAACGGAGACAGCTTCTTTTGGGCCTCTATCCCTCTTTCTCTCTCTCTCTCTCTCTCTCTCTCTCTCTCTCTCTCATACACACACACACAAAAAGACCATTTATTTCCTTCATAAAACTTGAGGTTCTTTGGTGTTACAAGTGCTCATACTACTCTAGTAGACAAGTAATAAGAAATCGTTCGTTCTTAGTAAGAGGAGAAAAAGGAAAAAAAAAAACATTTGTTCCTGTCTCATTTCATCCTCAAGAGTATTAGGGGTCCAACACTATCTGCAGACAATGAAATTAAAATGTGCCTCAGACAAAAAACATAGTTTCACCATATCTCCTTATTGAGCCCCCTTTTCATCCCTTTCTAATCCAAAAATTACACAGTTCTATGCATTTCCACACATCTAAAGGGTTTGAATTGACAAAATATCCGCCACAACATATATTTAGCAAGCTTTCCTATAGTCATCATGCTTATCAACACAGGCAGCAGCACAAGCATCAAAGCAATCTCCAGCTTTTTACCCTCAGTGGTCCATTAAAAGCCCCGGGAGAGAGAGAACTTCTCTATTGCTTTCAAGATAAACAAGTTTAAAGGAAAATGATACTTTAAGAACATGAGAGATAGAGAGAGGTTTCTCTAGTGGCTGAAAAAGTAAGAGAAACTTACAGTGCATGGGTTGCCAAGTTTATCAAGCATATGGACTCGAGGACGCAATCCTAAGGATCTGTCTTCCCCAGCCTGAGAAGAAGGAAAAGGTGGTGGCCTTGGCCTTAACAGATGCTCGAAGATGGCCATTATAAGAAACATGGATATCAGAATGGCGGTGGCCACAAACCCAAAAGAGATTGCATTCACTGATGTGTCGAAATTCCTCCATGGAACAGCTCTATTGCCACTCTGAGGGCTTGCGCTCTCTTCGTAAGGCTTTGGTCTTCCAGACCTAAAGCCACTAATGGAGCTCGGCTCCATACCGTAGCAGTGGAAGATTTGATAAAGAGCTTCGCTCTGCCAACAAAAGCGAGAGATCAATGCCAAAGATATTGAATCTGTGTGTGTGTGTGTGAGAGAGAGAGAGAGAGAGAGAGAGAGCTTCTTGGTTTCATGAAAGGACATGGAACTTTTTAAAGATCCACTAAAACCATGAATGGATATACCATCCACTTATCTTGGTTGAATGAAGTGATATAACAGGGTTCAGAAGACCCACTCAGAGAGAGAGAGAGAGAGAGA